AATGTATTTGCAAACTAATCAACAAAATGAGATTTGTGCACCTTCAGTAACGTATGGAAGCTTTAATTCTTGCAGTCAAACATTTACTTGGTATTCACTACGTGCAAGCCCTCGCACACAGGGTAAATAAGATACAGCAGGTGCTTTCAAGACATTCTCTCGTCTGTAGAGTAACTGGGGCATATACTGTGGAAATATAGCAAGAATCCCAGCAAATTATTCCTTTGGGTGATAATAGCCAGTATAAAGATCATGCTTAACACTTTAGTCTTCACTGAACATTCCCAGATGCATCCCATTCAGTTCTTCTCGCTCCCTAAGTGTCTATAAGTGAAGACCCAGATACTGAACTGTACATAGGAAGTGTAATTAGCGATGTTTTAAGATGATTTGATTTTCTATGCTTTTGGACAAGAACTGCAGAGTTTGCCTCAGGTCCTGCTACTCCTCATTCTATCGTACCTAGCTGGAGTCACATATTTTTGTCACCTAATGGTCCTTATAAGCAATAGAGTTTTTAGGGGCTCTTAGAGCCAGTGCCCTTTTATGTGTATGCAATTAAAAAAAAAAGATTTATTTACTGGGGCCGATGCTGTGGTGTAGTGGGTTAAGACGCTGCCTGCAGTGCCAGCATCCCATATGGGCACCTGTTTGAGTCCCGGCTGCTCTACTTCCAATCCAGTTCTGTTCTAATGTGCCTGGGAAAGCAGTGGAAGATGGCCCAAGTACTTTGGCCCCTGCATTCACATGGGAGACCCAGAAGAAGCTCCTGGCTCCTGGCTTCAGATTGGCCCAGCTCTGGTTATCACAGCTATGTGGGGAGTGAACCAGAGGATAGAAGTTATCTCTCTCTCCCTCTCTTTTTTTCCTGTAATTCTTTCAAATAAATAAATTTTTTAAAAAAGTTTCCTTATTTATCTGAAAGGCAGAGTTACAGAGAGAAAGAGAGGGAGAGACAGGGAGAGAGATCATCCATTCACTGGGTCACTCCCCAAATGGCCACAAAAGCCAGGGCTGGGCCAGGCCGGAGCCAGGAGCTTCATCTGGGTCTCTCACGTGGGTGGCAGAGGTCCAAGCACTTGAGCCATCGTTGACTGCTTTTTCCAGGCAATTATCAGGGATCTAGATTGGAAATAGAGCACACAGGGCTCAAACTGGTGCCCATATGGGATGCTGGTGTCACAGTTGGTAGCTTTACCAGCTATGCCGCAATGCCAGCCCTGGGTGTATAGTTTTTTGTTATAATTATTACTCCTGTACAGCATCTGCGGTATGAACTGCCTGTACCCTTAAGATGTTGTTCTCCTTGATTCAACAGGGCACTGAAGTCCACACCGAATCTCAGTGTTTTAGTTAATGAACACCAAGCACCCACCTCTTGCAAGTCTTTGTTACAGCTGAGAGCATTCATGGAAAAACTCATCTAAGGGCTCCTGCCACTGAAGACACTGTAACATAGGTAGCAGGTTAGAACTCACACACGTGAAATATAGAAGGAATGATACAAGTGCAGAAGCTGTGGAAATGGACTAGAGAAAGGGAGACTGGGAGAGGGCTGGGAGTTGAGCTGGGCTTTGAAGCATGGGTAGGATTCGGAGAGTTGACGCTGTCCTGTGGGCCTTGCAGATGACCCAGAAGTAAAACCTCAGAGGGGCAAATGCACAGGTACCTTTAGGGGACCAGCAGCAGACAAACTTCGCAGGAAATTAGGGCTGAGATGAGAATGTCAAGGGCTTAATGCCAGGCAAAGCTGCCAAAGGAGAGACGGTAACAGGCAGTCAAAAACTGTGTGATTATATCCAAAAGACTGAATCTGGTCGGTGCTGTGGCTCACTAGGCTAATCCTCTGACTGCGGCACCGGCACCCCAGGTTCTAGTCCCAGTTGGGGCACTGGATTCTGTCCTGGTTGCTCCTCTTCCAGTCCAGCTCTCTGCTGTGGCCTGGGAAGGCAGTGGAGGATGGCCCAAGTGCTTGGGTCCTGCACCCCATGGGAGACCAGGAGAAGCACCTGGCTCCTGGCTTCAGATCAGCACAGCTCCAGCCATAGCAGCCATTTGGGAGTAAACCAATGGAAGGAAGAGCTTTCTCTCTGTCTCTAACTCTGCCTGTTCAAAAAAAAAAAAAAAGTGAATCTGCTTTTTCATCAGGTATACAAGGCAGGTAGTGGGGAGCTAGAATTGAAGGCCAGTCAAACACTGGGCCATTGTATTCATCTATGTTTGGAAACAACGCCTGATTTAGGGTCCAAAAAGCGAAGCAAAGGAGAGTAAGAAGAAACTGGCAGAACTGACAAAGCAATAGGCAACTAATCAGCCATATAGGAGAGAAAAAGAGTGGTAATAATATTGACTTTTTTTTTTAAAGATTTATTTATTTATTTGAAAGGTAGAACTACAGAGAGAGAAGGAGAGAGAACTTCCATCCACCGGTTCACTTCCCAAATGGCCACAAATGCCAGGGCTGGGCCAGTTTTAGGCCAGGAGCCAGAAGCTTCCTCCAGGTCTCCCATGTGGGTGCAGGGTGCCAAGCACTTTGGCCATCCTCCACTGCTTTCCAGGCACATTAACAGGGAGCCGGATCAGAAGTGGAGCAGCCAGGACTTGAACTGGCACCCACGTGGGATGGTGGAACAGCAGGCGGAGGCGTAAGCTTCTACACCACAGTGCCAGCCCCCAGTTGACATGGTTCTCAGGCCACACTATCAAGGAAACATGCAACAAGGAGGGCAGAGGATTAGAAAGGCAGCAATATTGGATGAGTAGCTGATTTTGGAGGAAAGACATTGAGTCGAGTTCGAGTCATGAGGTCATAATGCAAAGAACTCCAGAAAAATGTAGGTCTAGTGCTGGGAAAATAATTTAGGGCTAGGGATAAAGAAGTTATTTCTATTATGGGAATGTTAGTTGATATTGGAGAAAGAATGAACTGAGGAGGAGAATAGAAAAAGAGATTGAAAAGAGCACATCTGTGCGCAAGAAGGTACCAAGATTTGGAGAGCACGACTGGAGGACAAGTGGAGCAGACAGGGACAAGGCAGCCAGAAGAGACGGAGAAGCTTCCCCACTGCAGTATCTGAGTCAACAGGGAAAAGCTTCCCTAAGCAGGCATGGTTAGTAATAGAGATAATAAGAAGAACAGAGCATCAGCCTACAGTGCGGTTAGAGGCAGCTGGACAGCATTGTGGGGTGACAGGTGGGAGTGCCTTTCAGATTGCTTTATCTACCCTGGAATTCTGCAGTGTGATGGGTAGGAGGCCTGCTGCAACACAGCAGGGTATGAATGAAGTCAGACTGCAATTGTCCCACCACAGGGTAACCCAGGTATGCAACAGTGATGGCCTGTGGTATATCTGGACATGGACATGTGCAATAAAAATGACAGGCCGCAATCTAAGTCACTGTCCAGTGTATTTTACAGCAAATCAACTCTGAAGCATGACCCCTATTACTGTCTCTGGGGACATTTCTACCATCTCCTTTTCAAATCAACCTCAAACTGCCTCCTGAGTATTACACCAACACTTCATTTTTGATGATTCACCTGCCATTTCATGAAATACATCCATTGAACAATTCAACCAACACCCAATGAGCAATACGTATATCACGGGGCCCTGGGCCAGGTATTTGGGACTCAGAACCGTGAGGGGTGGCCCTTGCTTCTGAGGAGTTCCAGTTCAACAGAAAGGCTCACAGATGGGAGAAACCCAGGGGGAGGACACCAGGAAGCAGCACAGAAGGGTCAGCTGTTGAGGAGAGCTCAGGTAACAAAGGCAAAAAGACCAGGTCCTGAGAGGCATCCCCTCGCTCGCAGGCTCTCAGGAACATCCAGGTCAAGGTTGAAGAACATTCAGGTCAATGCGCACTGGACTCCGTACATGACTCTGGATCCCTGCTTACACAGAATGCTTCTACTCTGCCTTTGGTCATCTTGTGTCTATCACCTCTTCCACAGAGCACTGAATTGTAGGCTTAGAAGCATTCTGCTCACTAGGTAATCTCACTCAGGCTTCTTCCCCTCCCCACAAATCCACTGCCCTCACCTTCCATGTGCATCAGGTGGGGAGCACTAACTAGCAGCAGTTAGTTACGGGTTTTCTTTACTTTTGCTATGATCCTTTCACGTGCAAAGATAAGTCTCTCATTAGACCCCAAAACATGTTTTTGCTAAGTAATGGTTACCTCGGAAAGATCATGAAATAGTTGTTTTTTTTTTCTCTCTTTTTTTTTTTTTTGACAGGCAGAGTGGACAGTGAGAGAGAGAGAGAGAGAGAGAGAGAGACAGAGAGAAAGGTCTTCCTTTTGCCGTTGGTTCACCCTCCAATGGCCACCACGGCTGGCGCGCTGCGGCCGGTGCACCATGCTGATCCGATGGCAGGAGCCAGGTACTTCTCCTGGTCTCCCATGGGGTGCAGGGCCCAAGCACTTGGGCCATCCTCCACTGCACTCCCTGGCCACAGCAGAGAGCTGGCCTGGAAGAGGGGCAACCAGTACAGAATCCGGCGCCCTGACCAGGACTAGAACCAGGTGTGCCGGCGCCGCAACGCGGAGGATTAGCCTAGTGAGCCACGGCACCGGCCAATAGTTATTTTCTTAACGGCACACTTGTAGAGCACAGTGTGTAAACTCCAGCCTAGAGCACTGGCTGCCTGGCAAAAGGATAATCACACACAGATGTCAGTTGTAGGAAAACAGACTTCTAGGTTCTTAACCGCTAATCAATCCTCTGAACACTCGAGGCTGAGAGGTAATCCCAAGAATAAATTGTTTCTCAATACGAGCTTTCGGAACAGAAACGCCTCATCTCATAAGCTGTCCAACAAGAATAATAAGCTCAGGGGCAAGGAAGAGAAATTCTACTTGGGGGACCAGAAGAAATTAGCTGTGTGCACAAGCACCATTTCTGAGGATACGGAGAGGTCTGCCCATCCATGGCCTCATCAGGGTCTACAGCACAAACTCACAAAGAATGAGAAAATCTCAACGCATCCCGTAGTCACCTCCAGGCTTGATGCAGCTCCTCAGGCAAAGATGACCAAGAAAACAGCTGCTGTTGTATCCGGTTCCCTTAAAGACAACATTGCGAACAGCGCAAAGAGAAAACAAAACCATCAACATGCAGTGGTTCCAGCCCCGGATTCTCTCCAGCTGGGACATAGGAGGATTGCAACAGAAAGTGGTCAGACTTCGGGTTAAGGTCTGTTAAGCAAGAGGAGGAACAGTGAGCTCATGTCTATCCAGCTCAGCTTCCCTGAGGGCAGCTCCAATCAGTACTGGTTCTGAGGAACTCACAGCCATTCGGTTTTGTTTTTGGTATCACCTCTTTTTTTTTTTTAATTTTAAATCGTATTTATTTTTTTATTTTAAAATTTAGTTTTAGAATTTTCCTTTATTTACCCACATTCTTCTTTTTTTTAACTTTTATTTAATGAATATAAATTTTCAAAGTACAGCTTATGGATTACAATGACTCCCCCCCCAACTTCCCTCCCACCCGCAACCCTCCCCTTTCCCTCTCCCTCCCCCCTTCCATTCATATCAAGATTCATTTTCAATTCTCTTTATATACAGAAGATCAGTTTAGCATATATTAAGTAAAGATTTCAACAGTTTACACCCACATAGAAACACAAAGTGAAAAATACTGTTTGAGTACTAGTTATAGCATTAAATCACAATGTACAGCACATTAAGGACAGAGATCCTACATGAGGAGTAAGTGCACAGTGACTCCTGTTGTTGACTTAACAATTTGACACTCTTGTTTATGGCCTCAGTAATCACCCTAGGCTCTTGTCATGAGCTGCCAAGGCTATGGAAGCCTTTTGAGTTCACCGACTCTGATCATATTTAGACAAGGTTGTAGTCAAAGTGGAAGTTCTCTCCTCCTTTCAGAGAAAGGTACCTCCTTTGATGACCTGTTCTTTTCACTGGGATCTCAAACGTGGAGATCTTTCATGTAGGGTTTTTTTTTTTTTTCCAGAGTGTCTTGGCTTTCCATGCCTGTAATACTCTCATGGGCTTTTCAACGAGATCCACGTGCCTTAAGGGCTGATTCTGAGGCCAGAGTGCTGTTTAGGACATCTGCCTTTCTATGGGTCTGCTGTGTATCTCACTTCCCATGTTGGATCATTCTCTCCCTTTTTTATTCTATCAGCTAGTATTTGCAGACACTAGTCTTGTTTATGTGATCCCTTTGGCTCTTAGTCCTATCATTATGATCAATTGTGAACAGAAATTGATCACTGGGACTAGTGAGATGGCATTGGTACATGCCACCTTGATGGGACTGAATTGGAATCCCCTGGTATGTTTCTAACTCTACCATTTGGGGCAAGTCAGCTTGAGCATGTCCCGAATTGCACATCTCTTCCCTCTCTTACTCCCACTCTTATATTTAACAGCGATCACTTTTCAGTTAAGTTTCAGCACTTGAGAATAACTGTGTATTGATTACAGTATTCAACCAAAAGTATTAAGTGGAACAAATAAACAAAAAAATACTAAGAGGGATAACGTATTAAGTTGTTCATCAACAGTCAGGGCAAGGGCTGATCAAGTCACCGTTTCTCATAGTGTTCATTTCACTTTAACAGGTTTCCTTTTTGGTGCTCAGTTAGTTGTCACCGATCAGGGAGAACATATGGTATTTGTCCCTATCGCCTCTTCCTGCAGGCATCCCTGGAGCTTGTCCTCTGGCGAAGCTGCTGCACACGCAGGAGCAGGAGAAAGGGGAGGAGAGGACATGGCGGGGTGGGGGGGAAGGTGGGCACCACAGGCTATGCACCCGAGGCTGTCCATCAGGGCCTCTGGCAGTTTCCTAGGGCTGCCACAGATGGCCTACAAATGGTGGGGCTCAAAATATCCTCTCACAGTGCTAGAAGCCGAAGCTAAAGCACCACAGGACCACGCTCCCTCTCTCAAGGCTCCAGGGCAGGGCTGCTCTCCCACCCCCACCCACCATCTCCTGACTTCCTCTTCCAGTGGCCCCAAGGCAATGCTTGACATGCCTTGTCTCATAGCTGCCTTCCTCCAACCTCTGCCTCCATTGTCACCTGGGGGTTCTGCCCTCTCTTGGCCTCTCTTCTAAGGACACTGGCTGCTACATTAGTGCAGCCACTCTCACCCAGTACAATTTCATCTCAATTACATCTGCAAAGACTCAACTTCCAGATAAGATCACACTCCAGTGTTTCAGGTGGATATCAATCTGGGGAGACCCGATTCAACCTCGTGTCATTCTTAAAACAACTTGTCATCTAAATACTGTTAGACCCATTTCACACCTGGGAAATCAGTTGAGATCAAGCAATGTCTCCTTCGTTACATGGATGAATTTGAACTCGAGGCTCTCAGGCTTCATAACCTGGTTGTACGCACTGGTGAGATCATCAGTATGCATATCACAGTGCAGAATTTTATGACCTACATTCTAATTTTCCATTACCAAGCATTAATGTAACAATGGAAGTTTTGGTTACATACACACACACTGATTTACCTTTGTTTCTCAGGGATCTTCTGTTATTAAGTGTACAAAGCAAAGGGCCAGCCAGCAGCATGAAGTTGGTCCGTGGTGAGATTAAAGCCAGCAGGCAAGAAAGGGCCAGGCTTAGAGCGGGGTCTGGATGCCCAGTCTCCTTCCTGGCCACCATTCTGCTCCAGCTCATCAGGTCGGGGCCAGCAGCCAGAGGGTGGGGTCCATGCCCTCAGCCAGGGTCTGTGTCTTTGAGCAGTTTTCTAGAGCTTTCTTGGGCTCTCTGAGTGCCTGCCTTCTCCTTCTGGCTTCTTCTTCCCTCCCTGGAACAGGGAACGAAGTGGTCTGCTAACTCCCCTGGGAGGGGCTATCCTTGTCCTCGCTCTGGGGACCTGCTTCTCCTCCACGGCTCTAGCAGTTGCCACGCTCTGTCCTTGGCCCTGGTCTGACCACAGTGGCCGTGTGGCCCTGAGAGTCTGGTGTCCATGGAATCCACAGTCCCCTCTGCCAGAGCCAGGCACAACACACCCCACGCCCCACAATTTCCTCTCCTCTGTGAACTTCTGGCTGGCCCAGACCTCTCCATCTTGCCTTTATGCAGCTCACTTTTTTTTTTTTTTTTAATTTTTTTGACAGGCAGAGTGGACAGTGAAAGAGAGAGAGAGACAGAGAGAAAGGTCTTCCTTTGGCTTCACCCTCCAATTGGTTCACCCTCCAATGGCTGCCATGGCCGGCGCACCGCGCTGATCCGATGGTAGGAGCCAGGTACTTATCCTGGTCTCCCATGGGGTGCAGGGCCCAAGCACTTGGGCCATCCTCCACTGCCTTCCTGGGCAACCGGGACAGAATCCGGCGCCCCGACTGGGACTAGAACCCGGTGTGCCAGCGCCGCAAGGCGGAGGATTAGCCTAGTGAGCTGTGGCGCCGGCTCAGCTCACGTCTATTTTTCTTCCCACCTGGTTTAAATCACCTGCCATGCGCACCAATTACTTTTGTGAAGAAACAAAGATAATTTTTTAAAAAATGTATTTAATTGGCCAGCACTGAAGCTCACTAGGCTAATCCTCCGCCTCCGGCGCCGGCACACCAAGTTCTAGTCCTGGTTGCTCCTCTTCCCGTCCAGCTCTCTGCTGTGGCCCTGGGAAGGCAGTGGAGGATGGCCCAAGTGCTTGGGCCCTGCACTCGCATGGGAGACCAGGAGGAAGCACCTGGCTCCTGGCTTCAGATCAGCACGGTGCGCCGGCCGTAGCAGCCAGAAGGAAGACCTTTCTCTCTGTCTCTCTCTCCTCACTATCTAACTCTTCCTGTCAAAAAAACAAATGTACTTATTTGAAAGTCAGAGTTACATTGAGACATAGACAGAAAGGGAAAGGTATTCCATTCACTGGTTCACTCCCTAGATGGCCACACAGGCCAGGCCAGGGCCAGACAAATCAGAAGCCAGCAGCTTCATCTGGGTCTTTAACGTGGGTGCAAGGGTCCAAGTACTTGGGCCATCTTCCGTTGCTTTTCCCAGGCCATTAGCAACAAGCTGGATTGGAAGTAAAGCAACCAGGACACAAACCAGTGCCCATATGGGAGGCCGGCTTTGCAGGTAGGTTGTGGCTTTACATGCTGCACCACAAAGCTGGCCCTGGAGATAATTTTTTAAAAACCAGTAAGGGAGAGTATGGTTAGATTCCAGAACAATAACAAGGAAACATCTCAGCAAATGGCCTATACATGTTTCTAATCATTTAATTATAAGTAATAAGACACACAGAGGCCCTTTGTTAAATTCTTAAATTAGAAACACATGAAAGTCTTTTGCTTCATTCCCTTTATAATAGAAGATCCCGGGAAGTGCAGCTAAATTGTGTGTGTGTGTATGTGTGTGTGTAATTAGACTTCCATTGTTGTACTGATACTTGGTAATGAAAATTAGAATTTAGGTTATAAACTACTGCACTCTAATTTGCACAACAATGATCTCACCAGCGTGTACAACCAATCTACAAGGTCCCTCCTATTTTTTAGAAGGAAAAATTGAGGCAGTGAAAGCTGCAAAGCTTAGCTGACAACATCCTGTACGTGCAGGGCAGAGTGGGGAAGAAGTGCTACAACTTCTGTCCTTTCTTCTCAAGACATTTGTCCTCCAAATGCAGGTGATTCATGGAGGAAATGTGGTGAACCCACGTAAATGTTCCTGCAGATCACCCATATTGGTGCCTGCCCGTGTAGCTAAGCCAACGTTAACTATTTCAGGTCCAAAGAAACAAGTCCAGTCTTGCCCACTCGGCTGGGTCTTGAAGGGAAATAGAGGCACATAGCCTGAGGATGAGAAATGCAGCTTTCATTTTAGAAATGGGCTAAGAGCAAGAGCTAAAGAAAGGACGAGAACTGTGCGGAGCCGGCAGTTTATCTGGGCCCAGCCTTCACAGCCGTATCAAAGTCACCACCTACTGAGACTGGGCCCCGGTATCTGGAATGAGATGAATGGGAGCGCAGGTGAGAATGGGGTCGGGACTCAGGGGTCATAAGCAGCGGGAGGGTGGAGTCCCTGTGGGGGCCAGCAGGAAAGTGGGCCCACCCTGTGGCGTGGTCAGCCTGGAGGTGGGATGGAGGTAGCCTGCGGGACCCCTGCCTGCTAGGAAGGCCTGGTTGCAAGCTGAGGGGAGGAAAGGTGCAGATCAAAGTTCTGGCCAGAGCACCCACACCTGTTTGTTTTCAGCAGGGCGGCTTGGTCACGGCGAAGAACTTTTCGAAATAAAGGGAGGTTTGTTGTGCGTGTAACAGCTCGATGGGAGGCCTTCCTTCAGTCCCTTTCCTCCCAGCTCTGG